AGGCCTCGTCGCCAAAGTAGAGGTTGGCGCGGTGGCGTCGACGACGGCGTGCACCGGCGTCTGCGCCACCGAGGCGAGGTCGTAGGCGATATCGGCCGCCGACACGGAGGCGCCGACGACGACGACGCGCTTGCGCGGTAGTGATCCCGGCCGCGGAAGTTTTTGCTGTGCAGCACTGAGCCCGGACGCAGCTTCTCGAATGTATCGAGGCCCGGGATGGCCGGCACGTACGGCACCGAGTAGTGGCCGCTGGCGACGACGACGGCGTCGAACCACTCGGTCCACCAGTAGTCGGAGCGCTCGCCGTCCCGCCGCAGCGTCAGCTTCCACTCGTGGCCGACCTTTTCGACGCGCTCGACCGTCGTGCTGTAGGAGACGAGGTCCTCGTAGCCGTCACGCTCGAGGAGCGACTGCAGGTAGCGGCGGATCACGGTCCAGTGCCGGAACGGCGTGTCCTCGCCATGGAGGGCCACTGAGTGTGGTGAGCGGTCGGAGGGGATGGGCTCCTGGCTGAAGGACATGGGAATCGCGTCGACATTTGTCTCGAGGTAAGGGTAGACAGATGAGTCGGCGAAGCGGGGCTGAGTGAGCTTCGGCGTTTGGGCCGGCAGCCGGTCCGGGATGTCCACCGGAGGGTCAGCCGTGCGGTTGGCGAGGGCCTCGAGGTCCGTGAGCAGCGGCGGTGGCGTTGTATCGCCGAGCCTGGCCTGTTAGCCTCACTCACTGTGTTGTTGAGGTCTCATCTCAGACATCTCATGATGAGAACCGAAAAAAAGGATAAGAAGTAGAAAAAAAAACAAGAGAGAGAGAGAGGGAGAGATAAGAGCGAAAGCACTCACCAACAGCCACCCGCCGCCTCTCGGCGCTCAAACACGCGGATCAGGTCGAACGCCTTCTCCTTGGCTAGGGCATCAACGGCAATGGCGCCGCCGGGCCCAGCCCCAATGACAGCAACCCTTTTGATAGCAACCATGGCGTCTTGATCTAAGAAAATGATGGAATCGAAGTGAACTCGAGAGGGGACCGTTTGGTTGAGCGGGGGGGTTCCTGAGAAAATGGGCCAGCTGCCTGGTATTATTAAGATATAACGCCCGCGATACCACGGCTTGCGAGCCTTGGGGAGGGGGGATGTGCGTCTTGTCGTTCAAATCCCGTCACTCAAACACCGAAAGAGATGGGCGTACGACGTGAATGGACTCGGTGTATGCTGTCTTCGGCGCCAGAGCCGGGGGAAAGGAGCTGTCAACTTTGGGGGTCGAGGGAGACGGTATGGGGGAACACATGGGGGGGCAATGAAGCATCAAGGCAAAGAGTGGCAGGGGGGTCGCGGTTTTGTGCCGCTCTCCGCGTGGCACAGCCGCTTGCGCGGTGCGATTTAAAGGTCTGATGTGGAGACGATGAACCCTGACGATAACAAGGGTCGTTCGATATCAATGCCCTCTCACTTGCGGGATTGGGACTCCTGGCGCGCTTCTCCTCGGTGGATGCCATCTTAGCGTCAATGGCGACATGGCCACGAAACCACAACGAACACACTCCCAAGAGTTGCCAAAGGCACAAGAGGCACCAGACATTGGGCACTGCGAGACGGCAGATGGCGCACCACATGCCGGCGAACGTCACTAGAGCCATTGCGCCATCGCTTTTCAAATCCCAGTCGTCTGGGCCACGGCCTCTGATGTTGGGATAACGAACTGACACCTATGGTGATTCGCTGGGAGTCTTGATGCTGAAGGTCGTCGACCATTTCGGCCTTTGAATATCGAGCTGAAGTCTTGGGGGAGACATTTTTAAAGGTTTATATCTTGTTTGAGATGCCGATGCCTGCTGATCGTGAAGCTGGCTGATGTCCACGACCGTGCTATTGTCTGCCCACAGTCTTGAGTCTTGAGATCCCGATTCGCCTATCTAGAATACCGAAAGTCTGGGCACTGCCAAAGAGTACTCTCGCTGCTGACGAAGAGGGATAAGGCAGACAGGAATCATGGAAACTTCCAAACAACTTGCTGGGGGGGACGGAGAGAAGGGGGTTGACAGCGAGCCTCAAACGGACCAAAACTCCATCGAATCGGCTGATGTGCAGGAATGGAGCCACAAGGAGGAGCTCAAGGCCAGGAGAAAGTAAGCCGCCCTACTCACTTCTCGATCCAGCCCCTCAGCCAACTCGACTAACAGCATAGGGTCGACTCAACCGTCCTGCCCCTGCTCTTCCTGGGCCTCCTCGTCTTCCAGCTCGACCGCATGAACCTTGCCAGTGCTCTGACCGATGGCTTCGCCGTCGATATTGCCGTCACACAAGAGACCATCAACCTCGGAAACCAACTCATGTTCATGGGTATCGTCGTCCTCGAGATTCCTTCCAACATGCTCCTCCAGAAGCTGGGCCCTCGCCGCTGGATTTCCGCCCAGGTCTTCATCTTTGGCCTCGTCGCCACGATGCAGTTCCTCCTCGTCAACCGCACCGGCTTCCTCGTCGCCCGCCTCATCCTCGGATTCTCTGAAGCCGGCTACATTCCCGGCGCCGTCTACACCCTCTCCATGTGGTATCCGAAGCGCGAGCTCGCCAAGCGCGTCGCCATCTTCTTTTTTGGCATGTTCGGCGGCAACGCCCTGAGCCCTGTGCTCGCCTCGGGCATCCTTCAGCTCGGCGGCAGGGCTGGTCTCGAAGGCTGGCAGTGGCTCTTTATTCGTGAGTCTCCTTTCTGTGCCCCTTTACTCTTGACGTTTTCCTCTCGCTCGCTTCTCAACATCAGTGCTTCCCACTAACAAGACACCCAGTCGAAGGTCTTTTCACAATCTGCGTCTCCGGCCTCCTCTTCCTCACGCTGCCAGGCTCCCCCGACGAGCCGCGCCCGCTGCTGTCGCCGGGCCTGATCCGCTTCACGCCGCACGAGCAGCGCATTCTGCGCGCGCGCATCGAGCACGACGACGCGCACCGCAAAGGGGGCGCCCAAGGGCTCGCCATCCCCTGGCGCCTCGTCTGGCGCACCGTCTCGCACTGGCGCCGCTGGCCGCACTACGTCTCGACCTTTGCCGTCTTCTCGACCTGGTCGCCCCTGACGACCTACACGCCCTCCATCATCATGGCCCTCGGCTTTGGCCGCATCGAGGCCAACGCCCTCGCTGCCGTCGGCGCCTCGCTCGCCCTCGTCGTCGTCTTTGCTTTCGCCTACCTCAGCGACCGCACCGGCCAGCGCGGCCTGTCCGTCATCACGGCCCACGTGTGCTACCTTGTCGCCCTCGTCGTCGCGCGGACGGTGCACCCCCATGTAGGCAAGTGGTCGAGGTGGGGGCTCTGGACGGCCGTCAACAGCTTCGCCGTCGGCTACCATCCCGTCCACAACTCGTGGGTGCAGCTCAACTGCCGAGAGCCGGGCGAGAGGAGCATTGCCATTGCGTACGTTTTCCCTCCCCCTTCTCGGAAAGACAAGAAACAAGGGCCACGATGACTGACCGAAGCAGCATGTGGGTCATGGCTGCCATTAGCGGGTTGATGGTCGGCACGCAGTATTTCAAGGGCAACGACAAGCCATTGTAAGTGTACCGCCCTGCGTGAAGCGCTGTCGTGCGAACTGGTCCTGACGTCTCGACAGCTACAGCACCGGCCTGCGGACCATGATCGTCATGGTGTCGGTGGGCATGGTCTTTGCCATCATCCAGGACGTCGTCTACGTTGTGCATAACCGCCGCGTGCGGTCGGGGAAGCACAAGACGAAGGATGGCTCGGAGCCGTACATCTATGTTCCTTGAACTTGAGAGTCCAGCGGGTTACTTCTTTCGGTTGGGGGTTAACAAATATGGATAGATGGCCTTAGAAATCTAGAGTATCGATTTCGATCGGAAACCACTCGTGAACGCTTGCTCCGCGGAGGCTACTCCCTGGACATTCAACTGTGTATTTTTGGCTAGAGTTGTCGCTTATAAACACTGCGAGTTGACATGGTAGGCTTCTGTCTATTTCGGAGCATGTGCATCTCCCATATACCTCAGAGCGTGGGGACTCTCCAGTCTTGGGCCAGCAAAAGACATTACTGTTTCACACAATGCTAAGACGCGCTTGTTGGGCCAAATAATTGGAGACAATATCACTCTACTAAACCAGTATGGCCTGCCAAATCCTCTTTTGAGGGCATGTATCAAAGTCAAGAGGATTAGTCGGACTGATCACTCGAATTCCCCCTTTTCACCAATGCGTCCAATGAGCGGTCAAGACAGGTGAAGCGCAGTTAGCTCATGACAGAAGGGTTCAGAAACGCGATAAATTATGTACTTGAATCAAGATGTTGAGTCGTCTTCAAGACCCCTAGTCATTACCTGCCATCCACATCAGAACTGAATGCCGACAATGCAAAACCTAGTGCGTGTGGTGACCACTCGAGCTAGTCTCAAACTCGCGCTTCGTCACCCAGCTCGTGCCGTTGGCGCGCAGAAGCTTCGTCACCTCGTCCATGTCCACGCCAAGCACCCTCTCGGCGATACGCGGCAGCTCCGTGTTGTCCCAGTGGCCGGCCAGCTCGCCTTTGAACGCCTCAGCCTTGTCACCCGCGGCATATCCAAACAGCGTCACATCTGACGCCGTGTGGCCGCCTGTCGACCAGTTGACACCGGCGCGGGAGCTGAGCAGAGAGACGAGTGCGCTGCCTAGGTTCGACGCTGCGAGCAGGCTCGTGATCTCGGCGCTGCTAGCGTCGGCGAGGCCGTACTCGGGAAGAATCTCGGACACAAGGTACTCGCGACGGTCGGCACCCGAGGGACGAGCACTCCAGAGGCGCTCAACACCCTCGCGCGAGCGCCTAGCTTTCTGCAGCGGCAGAGGGTTGAAACCGTTGAGCGTCAGCCCGCCGCACTCGTGTCGGCGGCGGACATGAGAACCGTGTCGTCGTGCTCGTCAATCCACTCACGGACAAAGCCCATGACATCGTTGTACATGATGGTCTCGTGGACGTGGGCCGCGGGATCGTTGGCGTGGCCGGCGTGATCGATACGCGAGGCCTCGATCATGATGAAGTATCCCTTCTCCTTGCAGTGGGTGGCACGGTGAAGGGCGTTGAGAGACGTCTCGACCATCTCGAGGAGCGAAGGCTCGTCCTGGTCAATTTTGCGGTCCATCTCATACTTAAGCTGGTCTATCGTATGTCAGCGTTGTGTAGACCGCCTGAACTTGAAATGAATCCTTACCGTCGTTGAAGAGGCCGACAAAGGGGATCCGGACGTCACCGAGACCCTTCTCAAGCGCATCGAACTCGTCACGGCTCTGCATGACATGGTAGCCGTGGTCCTCGGCGTAGCCAAAGAGATCCTTGGTATCGCGACGGCACGACCCGGAAGCCGTGTTGGGCTTGAAGTAGCAGCGGCCACCGCCGAGCAGGATGTCGACCTGTGGGCCGAGGGGGTGGGTCAGGCCGATCTGTTGGGCGGCGATCTCGGCATAGCTGTTGCGGTCGCGCACGTGCGAGGCGTAGACTAAAGGAGGTGAGCAGGGGTTCTTGAGCGAGAGATGGGACGAAAAGTACCGGCAGGGGTGGCGTGGTTGATGGTGCTCGTCACGACGAGACCAGTCTTGAGGCCAGCAAGCTTGGCAGCCTCGAGGATGGAGCCAACGGGCTGAAAATCAGGAGTGATGCCGACAGCATTGTTGTAAGACTTGAAGCCACAGGCAAAAGCGGTACCGGAAGCAGCAGAGTCGGTGATGAGGTTGTTGCTGGCGTGGGTACGGACCAGACCGCGGACCATCTGGTCGGCCTGCAGCTCAAAGATACTGGGGGCACGCGGCGTCGTGCCAGTCTCGATGAGGGAGACATAGTCTCGTGCCATGGTCTGCGAGGCCTGGCCGTAGCCATCGGGCACAATATAGATGACGTTCTTGGCCGTGGTGGCGGCGAGGACAGCCGGGGCCAGGGCCCCAGCAATGACGGCAGCACTGCGCATGGTGAGACGGGCGGTCTTCGCTCAGAGGGGGGAGCAGGCAAGAGGCTGAAGGCTGGAGAGCAGTGGTGAAGAGGCAGGCCATCAAGGTGGTATGCGACAGACGAACTATTTAACCTGGCTTCCCCTTCGAAGACCGAGGGGTATCGATGCGAAGGGAAGTTGACTGCCTCCGCCATTTCTGTGTTGCCACCTCTTGACTGCCCAACCCCCTGGTCACGATTGCGAACGGGCAGCGTCTTGGACCTCATTTCAACCGCATCAATGGTGTTTTTTCGGCGTCACATTATTGCCCTTGATGCTGGTTTTCAAGGTCGCCGAGCCTCGCCGGTTAGCACGGGCAGCACTCGACTGGCGTTCATGGCCTCATGTCGGTCAATACTGGGACCTGGGAGGGGAACTTGGAGAGAAAACCCCGCTTGACAGAGGCGGCCAGCAGGTGAGCAGACGGATGAAAGACGGCGAGCATGGGAGTCAAAAGCACCGCGGAGGAGAGGGTGGAAGGCTGAGGTCGAATAGTTTGGTCACGTCGTGGGTAGTATCGAGGCAGGATGAGGCGTGGTGGTCCTGTATCCAAGCCTTGTAGATCCAGGCACGTGCATTACATATGCTGGTACGCCCCCTGGACGCCCCAATCGGCGCCGGTGGTTGCGCAACGTGGTTCGGAGGCGGAGATTGGAAGCTCCGGAGAGTGTGGCAAGGACAGGCAGAAGATGCTCGATATGCTCCATTCTTGGCTTCGAGATGTGGTCTATATCGGAAGGTAGTTACCATTGCGAGAGCGAACTGCCTGGGATGGAATGGCTCGAGACACGTGTGAGTTCCGGTGCCTTGCAGTGGATGGCCCGGGGGTCTGGGTTGCAGACGAAGGATTCAATGGACAGCGAGGGTAGGTTGACGATGGAGATGAGAAGGTGTGTCTCTTGGATGCCTGGATGTCGGCATGTTGGGAAGTGGGAAAGCAGGTCGGAGAATTCGGAAGGGCGATGAGGGTTGAGCGTGCCTGCTACGTTGAGCGTGCCTGCCCTGCCGTTGGGTGAGGGAGTGAGTGGCAGCGGAGTGGCAGAGGAGCGGCAGAAGGCAGAAGGCAAGTGCTGTCGTGGGAAGTACCTCTGCATCAAGCAGAAGGGGAGGATATAGTTTCCATCCTCTTCTGGAGGGTTTGTGCGTCTCAAATGACCATGTCTGGACGGCTGCTTACACTGAATTGGACGTTCGGCAATCTTGTGCAAGCTCGGGTGATCCTAGCCACAGTCTTTCACAACTTTCCAAACCTGAGGCTCTCGGCGGAGGGTCTAAGATACTTGTGAGGGGGGCGCTATTATCATTACCAAGGAGGCCGCTCGCTGAATACCGACTTGCACTGCAAAAGACACCACTGGCCTCAGTCGGCCGGGGCCTGTGACAGGTGCCATTGGCGCCGCCTCAGTGATTGGCTGTCAGGTGGTCGCCGGCACGAGCCACTGCCATTTATAGCCAATGACGGCCCTGGCGCGCGTTTGCTTCGACCCAGACTGGAAACAGGCCCCGCCGCCCCACTGTCTTGCCTTCCCAGGCACCTTGCCTCTCTACCTGTGGCGGCAGGTGCCTGTCCCTGTGGTGGCAGGCGCCTCTACATGTACCTGTGGCAGGCGCCTCTACCTGTGGCAGGCCATCTTGCCTTTACCTGTGGCATCATCTGCCAAACCACCAAAACACCACACCCACCCAGCGCTTAACTTGTCGCAGGTACGGCTGCTTGCAGGGCCACCCGCCATGGGGCATCGCCGTCTGCATCTGCCATGTATTGGGCATCAGCTACCGGAGCTAGGGTCGCCTCGCCAGGTCTCATCTTAAATCTCCCGACGCAGAGACAATGCTCGCCGTCGTCTGTCCTGCTTCGCCTCGCCGTATCCGCTTGGCTCCCAGCAATGCATCGAGCTCTCCGGGCCATTCACGCGGCCTTCTCGCGTATGGAGTCATACATAGCTCGACCCCTTCCCCAGGGGGGGGGGGTCATGCTCACTCATACCTTTGGACGGTCTGGACTCTGTGGCTCTCGAACATCATACCTCGACGCTCGCTGCCTTTCTCTCTCTCTCTCTCTCTCTCTGTCTCGCTCTCTTTCTTTCTCTGCTTGTGTTTCCTCGTTCTCCATCTGTCACTTTCCTTGTCTTTCGAATTCTTGTTTGGATCAGCCAGCAGAAAACTCCTACTTCCTTCGCTTTTCCTTTGACTGTCCACCTGTCTCGTTGCTGTTCGGTTTGGCTTCACCTGCCGTTGGGCGGATTCTTTCTCTTTCACCATCTTCGTCTCGCTGCCGAAGCAAAAAGGAACACACGCCTTTGTATCAACGCCCTATTAATCCGACCTTCTCTTCTCGAAAACGCGCTCAGTACACGGAGCAACTGTCGATCTCTACAGCATTCACCCGACGATCCTCGCGTCGCGAGAAACCCCTCCACGATGCGACTCAACGTCCAGCTTTTGCTTCTTGCCCTCCTCTCTGCCTCCACGCAGGCTGGTCCCGTCAGTCGTGGCGGCAAGGAACGAAGGGACGATGCTGGCGTCACGCCGACCCCGGTATTCTCAACCATAGAAGACGACCCACCCTCAGCATCCTCATCCTCGATCCCAAGCATCTCTCCCAAAAAGCCTTCATCGGCCTCGCTGGGAGAGCCTCCGGCATCGTCGTTCCCTGCGGAAGAGACGACACCATCGGCCGAGCCAAGTCCCACTCCCAGTCTCCAGACGACATCGCCCATCATCACAAGCACTCTTGAAGCACCACCGAGCCCGAGCTCAGCTTCACCACCCATCGAGGCCATCCCTGACGCAGCCTCGTCGGTTGTTCCTTCCAACTCGGAGGAGGTCCACCTACCCTCCATGTTCAGCAGCATCTCGGTGCCGGCGTCTCTGCTCGATCCGAAGCCCAGTCCAACCTCAGCTCCGCCGCCTGTCAACTCTATCACATCGACGGCCTCGTTCGCGTCGTCATCTGTGTCTGTGCCTTCTGCGCCCTCTGCGCCTTCTGCGCCCTCTGCGCCTTCTGCGCCCTCTGCATCTTCTGCTGCGCCATCCTCATCCCCGGACAATGGCGTGTCCACGCCTTCGCCCATCTTGTCCACGATCACCGACGCCGCCTCGACTGCCGGCCCCGTTCCATCCAAGTCGTCTGCCGTTGGTTCCGCCTCCGAGTCGCTTCCGGTTGAGATTGGGCCTTCTTCCGTGGAGCGGTCCTCTGCGATTGTGGTCTCAGAAACACCTATTGCATCCTCTGTCGCACTCGGGTCGACCTCAACAGAGGCACTGTCTCAGCTGTCATCGACCGTTGCAGCCGAGCCTGGGACCTCTCTATCGGTCATCCCCGCCCCAGAGCCTTCCTCGGCTCCCCCCACGCCATCAGCTTCAGCCTCGGAGGCTCCAGTTGTTGAATCCTCCCGTGAGCCCATTATCAACCCCAGTCCTTCCACAACGATCGGGTCAGTCTTGACTACGAGCGAGTCCTTGGCCGAGTCATCTTCACTGCCTACGTCGGGACTGGCTCAGCCGCCTGCTGACCAGTCCTCCCCTTCGACTACACCAGTCAAGCCCTCGACGACGGCCGTCATCTCGCCTACCGGCACCCCGGACGCTTCTGTTCCCACGAACAATGGTCCACCCCCCGACTCGACCTCCACTGTCGCGCCCGATGTCGCAAAGAGCAACCTGGAGGAAGCCAAGAAATTCCACCGCATGTTCGAATCCCTAACCCGACAGTCCTCCTGCACAGTGGGTCAGGCTGCCTGCGTCGAGGGCGGTATCGGCTTCTGCAACACCCAGGGATCCTTTGATATTCGCCCCTGTACAGCCCCCCTGACGAGTTGTTTCCCGCTGCCGTTGGAGAACGCTCCCGGTGTCATGGTGGACTGTTATGAGACCACCAAGGCGAGGGAGATTCTCGGACTATCTGATGCACCTGAGGAAACTCCTGCACCTGTTGCGTCTGCTCCTTCTCAAGGGCCCTCTGCCGCCCCTCCGCAGGCCTCTGCCTCGCCTCCCGCAGTTAGCGACGGAATCGTCGTTACCGAGATCGTGACACCCACCGTCACCAAGATCATTGCCACGGAGACGGTCCCCAACCCCGGACAGGCCGAGACCCCACCCGTCTCCGCAGCCCCCGAAGAAACGACGACTACCATCAGAGGCACCGTGGTGTCGACGGTCTTTGTTACTGTCGATCCTCCAGCGGAGCCCACTCCCGAGACAACTCAGCTCGTTACCATCACAGTCACGGCGTCCCGTTCGCCGCCGCCCCCGCCGGAACTCGAGACGACTGAGAAGACAACGCTGACGACCACCATCCTCTTCACGCCGCCTCAGGAGCCAAGCCCTGCTCCCACGCCATCCGCCGAGGTCCCCGCGCCCGAGCAGCCAGTGCCTTCTTCTGTGCCTGAAGAGAACCCCTCGCCAGAACCAATGCCGTCCTTGTCCTCGTCCTTGTCCTCGTCCTCGTCGACTTTTACGACCCTCGACATCATCTTCGTGCCCACCACTTTCCTCACCACAACGATTATGGCCAGCGGTGTCGTCATCAACCCGAGCCCGACGCCGAGTGCGACTCTCGAGGCTGTGGCTACCGTCGCGGACGAGGCGCCGCCGCCTGTCACGGTGACGGAGACGCTCGTGCTCACTGTTACTGAGCGCGAGAGGATCATTGAGAGGGAGACAATCACCGTCACGGCGACTGTCGGAGGTCCAGCCTAGGGAAGACAAGTGTGACGCATAATGGGTCCTGGGCCACGACAGATGTTTGCAAAGAGAGTACCATGATATGAGAGAACATGGAAAACGTAATGGAGGTGGTAGGCTATCACGGAGTGATGCATTTACATCTAAAACAAAGAGTGCGAAACCAAGTATGAAAAAACATGATATATCACCCATGTCGCTGTTCTCTCATGTTTGGCTTGCCGCAACCATTGGCATTAACGTACTATGCAACGCGATGAATCATTTACTCCTGGGTTATGCTCCGTCTTCCAAAAATAATGTTTCCCATGCCAAAGCCCCAGGGACTGAATATAGCCTTCCACACACTGACGTCTAGGGCAGACATGTCCTCTTTGCTTCTCGCTTGTCCTCTCCCGCCGTCTTACGTTTGCTCGCGAATAACTTGAAAATAACCGAATTGGCCGGCCTCGTCCGCGCCGACGCAGCTGAATCCACACGAGGATCTCCCTCCACGGACGTCGCGGGCGTGGTTGACAAGTCGCGTGACGGCTCGGGCGTCCACACCTCGGGATCCTGAGACGTTGTCGTCGTTCTCTCGGACTCATAGTCCGAAGACGGTGCGTACGTCTCGTCAACAGCACGGCGGCCGCGCCAGTCTGTTGCGCGCTCGTTGTTCCCGCGAGGCTTGCGGATCGGCAGGACTGTCTCTGAGCCGAAGATGGATTCGTCGTGCGGGTCGTACGCTGTCATGCCGTGCGCGACCGTGGGGGATGAGCGTCTGCTGCTCGTCCTCCGCGGGGTGATGACCCTGCGCATGGCGCCGTGTTTCCCTGGCGTCGGGTAGCTGTGCGAGACATCCGTTACGGTAGACCGCTCGACGACGGGGGGGAGGAGGGGTGTATCGGGCGTGTCTCCCCTCTTGCGCCGAACCAGCGTCGTCTCGGCGTCGGCTTGCGGCTGCTGTCGTTGTGTTTTGGCCTGTTCTACCTCGACGCCTCTCATTCTCGGCTGGCGCACAATGTGCCTCGGCAGTGGCAGGTGCTCGTCACCTTTGATCAGGGACCCGAGCCACGCCGCGCGGAACGAGAGGCCCAACGCTATCGACACCTCCCTCGCGACGCTGTTGCCGACAGTCTTCCACTGCTCGGCCGGCGTGCCCAGTATGACCTCGTGGTCGCGGAACCCTTGCGCTCGTCGCGCCTCCATGACGGTCAGGATGCGGTTCTGCTCCCAGTGCAGCACGGCCCGGCCGTACCCGTCGCTGGGGCTCGGCGTCGTTGTGATGGTGCCCATGAGCTTGTCCGGGTGGAGACGGCCAAACGCCTTGGACGACGGTCCCTGGCGTTTCGCCTGCGGGTACAGGCTCATCTCCGCCGCCGTAATGGGCCCGTGGCCCTTGTTGTATGCCGTGCTGAGGTTGAGACCCCACGGTCGGGTGGGCATGCAGCTGAGCTGTGGACGGAGGAGCCGCGTGACGCCGATGCTCTGCCGGTGGTCCGGAAACGGGATGCAGCAGTCTGCCTTGGCGTCGGCAATGTCAGGCAGGTCGGTGAGCGCCTGCCTCGCCGTGACGGAGGCGAAGGCCGTCGGCATGAAGGTCTTGCGGAGCATCGGCTCGCCGTTGGACAGCAGTCCCAGGGACCGTGAGCGCATCGCCAGGGGCAGATGCGACTGCATGGGCACCTCGGGTAGGCGCAAGCCCGGCGCGGCAAAGGCGAAGAAAATGCGGCTGCGACTCTGCGGAGAGCCAAAGGTCCAGGCGTCGAGCAGAAAGAAGTGCGTCTGGTAGCCCATTCCGACAATGGCACATATGAGCTGGCAGAAGACATCTTCCTCGCGTGTCTTGCGCCCCTGAATCATCTCGACGACGTTCTCGAGGAGCCCGTACTTCGGCCGGTAGATGTCGATGAAGGAGGCGAATGCCGCGACGAGTGACTGGTTCTTCCGCTGGTTGGGGGTCGTCTTGTCCACCGTTAAACGACTGAAGCCGGGGCAGGGGCTTTCCTCCCGATACAAAGTCGACTTCGCCGACGGGCGGCACGTTGCTCGCGAAACGCCCTTCGAGTGCCATTCTCACCAGATCGTCGATGGAGCCTGCGAATGGGCTCACGCGGCTGGGATCGTCGAGGTTCGCCATGTATGTATGGACTGCCCGCATGTTAATGTCGTTGGCCCACCGCATCTCTATGGCGCCTGACTCCTCGAGTCCTCTCCCAAAGTTACCACCACCACAGAACAGGTCGAATCCTTCCAGCTTGGTGAAACCCTCCGAAGGATCCATGCCTTGCCTGAACGTCTTTGGAAACGGTCGCTCACGGCTGAAGGGCTCGCACGTCTTCGTCCCCGACGTATTTTGCAAGTAGGTGGATATATAAAAGGCGTTGCCCACACCGTCTCGATCGTAGGGCGTCTGTACAGCCTCACCTGGGCCGTAATAACGTACGAGGCAACGGCCGTAGACTGCTGCCAGCAGAACGCTGTACATTTCGTCCGAGTAGACGAGCTCGTTTGGGCGTGCTTGGCTGTATGGGTCGACCTCTATTCTTCGCAATAGTTTACGAAGCTGAATTTTTACGCCCGGCTTTCTCGGTGCCGTGACAAGCTCACACGGCTCAAGTCGCTTGCCGGACGGGTCGAGGAGAGCGAGCACTGTCTCTCCCACGCGATAGTTGTCAGGGTCGACGACCCGTGGTGCACGATGAGAGCAGGTCTTATGCTCCTCCTTTAACGTGATCCACCGATGCTCCTCGTGCAGGTAAGTCTGTCTGCAAAACAAGACGGCGGAGGTCGGCGAGCCACCCCATTGTATCGTATGAATCTCTAGAACCTCTCCCTCCTCGATTTTGTCGTGCTTATCGTAGCAAGAGCAATGGTCAGAGAGGAATAGCTCGTTGTCCCAGGGGTACTTCATCTGCCCGCAAATAGTGTCGACGGGGCGATATATCCAAATTACGTCGAATGAGCGTGTACCAGCTTTGCTGACGTGTATTCTCTGCACAAGGCCAAGCCAGCGGTCGACGTCGTCAAACCCCGCGGCCACCTCACGCTTCCATTTTGAGTCTAGGCCTTCGTCGCGTGGCGTCGAGATTACATCGCCCACACATACTGCGCGTTGCAGTCCTTTGGCTCGAACAACCTTTGTCGTGTCGAGGTGCCTGGCCGAATGGAGCATGTGATTGCCTGGCTGAAGATGTTGCTGTTCGATCAGTGCAGTTCGAAGCTTTTCTGTCTGCTGGCTGAGATTGACCTCTTCGAGCAGATGACCAAAGGGCATGTGAGCAAAGCAATCGTAGATATAGGGGGTCACGACGGTTAGTGGAGGTGTGCTGCTCCTTTTGCCATCTTGAGCTCTCGGATTGCTTCCTGGCAATGGCGAGGCACCGTCAAACCTACCAGACCTGGACTCCTCGGCCTCGGGGGATTGACCGGCTGAAACACGGCCAGACGCGTCGTTGTGTACCAGACCATACGGCTTATAAGCCGTGTAGGTCTTGATCTCCTTCCAGAACGTGTGAAAAAAGACCTGCTGGGAGGTGAGGACGCCGTGAGCCTCTTTGTAAATGAAGTCACTGTAGGCGTTGACGGCCACGCGAAAGTCTGTCCTCCCATATTGGTTCAACCATCGATTGAACACGGCGTTGCGGCCATGGGCCTGAATGAGCCATCTGTGGAAATGGGACTTGAAATGTCTAAATTCTACGCGACGCTTCTTGTCGCCGGCGACAGCCATGTAATCGACAACGTGCTTGGCCAGGTCGGCGATCCACAGGAAACCATGATAATAGCGCGCATACTCCTTGGCGGGTGTCGTGAGTTTGTAGTATATGTTCTTCTTGCCGATCCTTTGGTTGAGCGTGGAGCTGATCCAGATCCGGTCACCGACAGTCGGCTTGGCCATACCATAATTACCTAGAGGTAGGTCTCCAAAGGCGATGCCACGCACGAAAAATTTGGCATCTCCACAAGAAAGTATCCCGTCAGCATAAAGAGTGCTGTGGGCGTCCTTAGTGCATAGTGTCTGAAGTGGGCGCATCTCGTACGGGTATTGTCGTTGATGGGGAGGCTTGTTGCGATCAGACAGCGAGTGCCTGTAGACAACGAATTGACCGAGTTCAATTTCAAAGAAGTCGTCACTGGACGGCGAGGCGGCGTTCTTCAGCAGTGCTTCGACGGCACTCTTTTCCTTCCTCTCAGGCGCGGGTGCGCAGAAGCCAGGGAAACTGGAGACGGGGTGGACGAGGGTGCTCTCGGGTATTGTGACTGTAAAGCCACGAGATTTGGCCAAAGTATCCACAGAGGGAGATAGCAGCCGTCCGAGGGTGTTTCCTCGTTCATCTTGTACAAGGCCTATTTCGTCATTTTCCCAGGGCAGGAGGTCACAGGGCTGAAGCGTCACGGCATCGTCGTCACGGCCTTGGGGAGTCGAAGAACGTTTGCCGTCGGGAAGCCACTCGTCGTCAATTTCAGGCCAGTATCCATCCTCTATAATGTCTTCTGTGTCCCCAGCATAGGCGTCCTCGGGGTTAAGAATGCCACTGACTTCTCGGGAATGCGTTGAGGAAGAGTCGTCGGCAGAAGTGTCAACGTCGTCTGTGAAATGTCAGCAGGACGCTCAGAGAGCCTGGGAATAGCAAGAGCGGACCATATATGAAGTATGGCATTGTTGATTTAAGACGAGTGAGACATGAGGAAAGTGATTATGACTGCCAGACTGCGGATATAAAGAGGGCACGTCGAGAGGCGCTTCGAAGGCGTCGAGGCCGCTTCAGGCGTTCACATGCAGGGCAGGCGACACAAAACCGGCCAGGATTCTGGGGTGTCTGTACCGAATTCTCAGGACGACAGCTTGCAGAAGAAAGAGACTGTAGCGGCAGGAACAAGAGGTTCGAAACAAAGGCCGAGGAAATACAAGATGATGTGCTAGGATCCCAACAAAGACGCTTAGTTCAGCTACTCGGTGATGCATGCAACAGATGCCAGATCCAGATTTTGGGTGGGAAGTGGCCCAAACAAATTGAATTGTCGATTCCCGGGAGAAAAGTCTAGTTGATCCCGTTCAAAAGTTCGTGAGCGCCCTTTTTAGCGTTGAATGTGTACAGCTGAGATGGTGAAGCATGTACGAAATGTCCTCGGATGTAAGCCGAAAGCAATGACGCCATATAGACCGTAAGACTCGGGCTTAACAGTGAAAACTCCAAAGAAGATAAAGAGAATGAACAAGTGTCACGGTCTAGAAGGCGGCGCCCTCAAAGACGTGACTCGAGTCTTTGGGGGCAGGTTGGCAGGTGATGTTTCCTCTGGTGTTTATTGGGGATGCGAACGAAGCGATACCCCCCTCAGCTTGAAGGGGGTATGGATATGTCCCACCCCACCTCCACTGCCGAGCTTGTATCGAAGCTCTTTACGTGTACATTCGCAATACTCTCAGCGTATATGACGATTGTCAAGCCGAATGCCCAGTTCGTTGTTTAGGTACACATGATTGAGTATGCATGCAGTTGCTCCGTTACCGTGCCCTTATGTAGAGTTCGATGGCTCCCCGTCTACATTCACTGTTCACACGCTTTGTGCAAGATGTCGCAGACTCATTGCAATAGAAGAACCTCTCCGCACGCATGCAGCAAGATGGTAGAAAAGAAACAGAGTTGGGTATCTAACGGTCCTCAGACCGGTCTACTAATCATGACACGGGGCCGCGATCTATGCGGCCTCCTTCTCCTCGTCTTGCATGTACTCCATGACAATGCGCCTCACCTCAAAGACGACCTCGACAGCGATCAGTATGATGATGATCCATTCGAGTCGCGTGCTGTGCTGCTCGCTCGACATCTCGCGCAGCACCGTCGAGATCTCCTGCGCATAATCCATCTTCTGGTTCAGCGTCCTGATCCGCACATTGACGTCCAGCGCCCGGCCGACCTGCTCGTAGTACCCCTCGAGCCCCAGCTCGGCGCGGCTGTCCCAGAAAATGTCGGGCAGCGAATCCGTCAGCTCCGAGTAGTGGTTGAGCCGCGCCCGCAGGCTCAGCAGCTCGCCCGTCTTCTGCAGGATGAACTTGCGGCCCATGGGCACGCCGGCGCCGCGCGACAGCGACGCGGGGATGTCGCGCGTGCTCTCAAAGTAGGCCGTCAGCGCGCTCTCGAGCACGGCGAGCTTTGGTGCTGCGCGCGAGCCCGACGAGAAGGCAATCTTGGCCATGGTCGTGTCGAGCGTGTTGCCCTCGCGCGCCTCGAGCCGCGTGCCCAGCACCACGACGTCGCCCTTCATGCCGCTGCCTCGCGGCCCGCGTCCGTCGTGTATTCGAGGTCCTTCGACCCCGCGCTGCGCCGGAGCCAGCGGCACCTCGGCCGCCGGCATCAGCTGCTTCGTCACGACGTCCGGCGGCAGCGACCACGTCACGATCGTCCCGGACGGGAACACGAAGATGTCGCCGCCGTTGACCCCGCGCGCATGCACCACCTCGGACGCCTCGAACCCGGCGTTGTCGGGGTCAATGGCGAAGCCGTGGGCGCGCAGGATGTCGAGGACGCTCGTCATGTTGAAAGCTTCGGCGACGCAGACGGCCGACGTGACCATGGCCGATTCTGTCGTGTCAGGCATCTCGAGGACCGGGTCATCGGCGGGCCGCTGCGATGGTCGCTGGGCTATGATGGCGACGCGGCGCAGCGAGTTCTTCGCGCCGGCAGCTCGGTGCACAGGCTTGCGTTTCGATGCCGCCGCTGGCTCGACTGTTTGGGGCTCATCGTTGCTTCTCCCGCGGTGGGCTGAGGCGTCGCCGTTGGAGGAGAGGAGTACATTCGAGGTGAAGAAATCGCGTTTTCGGGGCAGACCAGCTGCGCTTGTGAGGTGGAAGGCTCGTCGTGGCCGCGGGGCGAACCTGGTGGTAAACAGGCCACGGCACAGAGCCGGGGGAACCTTTTGCTGACAGGACCACATGATTGCGAGTCTGCGGCAAGAAATCAATGAACAAGGGCAGACCGTATGGGAGCTCCGAGTTCAAGATTCTCGGTGCAGGGACCTTCACCGAGGCGGACCTCGGTGAATAACCTGGAGTGACCAATGATGTGCACTGGATATGCTTATCTTATCGCACTCGACGAGGAAGCTCCGCCAGCGCAACCTCGCATTTTCATGTCGATTGTCACTAGCTCTCGTCCACCAGTTGCGCTCTGCTCGACCACCAGCAAGATATCTCAATCTATGTCAGAGTAAGCTTCGCTATTTACAATGGAGACATGTGGCGCGCGCCCTTCTCCAGATCACAGCTCCCTGCCCTAGCGAGGCGGGCGAGGGGCAAGCCTGAGGTGAGTGCTCGTAACATGCTTCCTCCAAGGGGTTCCGCGGACTGACAACCGGCTGTGACAGCTCTCGGCGACTTCACGATCCTCAATACACATCGAAAGTAATAAGGCCACGGAAGACCCGTGCCAGAGGTTTGACGAGCTGGCACGAGATGTGCGCAATGCCTCTCGAACAAGGCACCAGACCACTCCAGACTCCTTCTCTAAGACAGAGCAGCCATTGCACACTACACGCGAGAATCTCAACAATCAATCCATACGAAATCCTCAACTCAAAAGCGTTCGAAGAGACGCTGTGCAGACAACACGACCAATCAAAAAGCTAGATCGGAAGAATAAGCCTACATATACACCGGCGCGCCTCCTCGATACCGCATGCCGCCTCTACCGTGGCGAGACGGAGCTCTCGGCCTCCGACCTCGAAGCAGCGAGCTTCCTCGCCGGCTACAGCAGCGCTCGTTTGCCCATTCTCACAGCTCAGTGGATGCTCCACTGTAATTGGGACCTCGAACCCAGCGTGCGCTCTCTGCTGCCCGATGTCTCTGCGTGGTCCACAAAGTTCGAACCGTACACGCCAAGGGGTACCAGCGAGATGATGTTCTCCATTGGGTTTGGATTCTTACGGCGAACGATCCTGACGAGCGCGTACGGCGCTCCCTCTCCGACACCCGACACAAACCATCCTTCATCCTCAATCACCTCCTAAATGATGCTTATTCCGGTCGTGCAGAGCTCCTGCGCCCCCACTCTCTCTACGGCATCATCAACCACTGCACTTCACTATACGAGCAATTTTGCCGACCAAGCCCTCAAGGAGAAAAGTTGGCGCTAGACTCTTGGCCTCTGGATAGTCCAGACGTCGTTCAGGGGATCATCGGCCGGTTGCTGTCCCATGCTCGACGTACTCAGGCGCAGGCTGTCATTCCCATTGCGAACCTTGCTGCTACATATCTTGAAGCCCTCACGGGCCCAACGGAACGACGATTGTTTGCACTTCGGTGTCGCACGTTCAACTTCATCTTAAAGGAGCTGTCAATCCCGCCGGCGAAGAAACCATACGCCACTGCTCATCACAGCTGGGAAGCCATCCGTACATTACTGCAATTCTCATCAACATTAGAAAAGCCTCTCATTGTTGAACGAGAAAGCTATCGCGGTATCCGTCGAGTCCTTCTGGCACTGCAGAAATCCCCCGGCGAACGGGACACGACAACGACACTGAAAAAGACCTGGCCACCCTACAGACTACCGAGGAACGGCCTTGAAGAGGCCATGGAAGCAGACGAGTACTACAGCAGGACAGTCAAGGCTGGTCTCATGATGCAGGACTCGGGCTACGCCAAAGAAGAATTCGATATCGCCACGGATATTCTCGGGGGTCTAGGTCCCGATGGGTCGCCGACGATCCAGACGCGGGCAAACTATCCCGTCCGCAACGGCTCGGACCAGTCCATATGGGCCGCTCAGATCCGAGCCACGAGAAGCGCAGAGGAAGCATGGCAGGCCTTCCAGCATCCGCCGCAGCCTGGAATGGCCCCCCAGACGGAAGTGTTCCACGAGATGATCCTCAAGGCGCTGGCGAATATTGTGGATCCCCACCATGATAACCTGCCTGGCGATGGACGAGAGACCTTTTCGCATGATACCCTCAACTTCAGCGAGTTTGAGAGGGCACGCCTCGCGCCACCCAAGGTTTTGCAGCTCACAAGACACATGGAACAATCCGGTGTTCGTCTCGACGAGAGGTGCCTCAATGTGCTGTTGCTGCGCTCGGCGAGCCTTGACGAGGCAGTCGAGTACGTGCAGCGAAGTTCGTTGAGCAAGACGCAGCAGGCTACAGTGGACTGCGCGTTACGAGGCACCGACGTGGCTTTCAACTCGGTGGCCGATCAAATCAAAGAGATCTCTCAGGGCACCTTGCTCGCCGTCATTCGATTGTTCTGCAGAACCCGCCCAGGCTACGGAATGTCAAGCCGTACAATAGAAAGGGCTATGCGGGTCGCCAGGCTCGGCTGGACAGCTGCCGGTTGCTCCAACCCGGCGCCCTGGGAGTTTATCCTCGAAGCCCTGGCCCGATCTCGTGTCCTGGCCTGTGGAGGGGATCCACAACAGAACAGCCAGCGCGCCTTGCTCTTGGCGGGCCACGTCATGAAGGAGGCCGAGGCATCATGCGGCCTCACACTACACATGTTAAGCAGCTTCGCGCGGGTAACGCAGAAAGTACTGCACACCAGACTCGACGGGCTCCTCGAAAGCCTGACAGGAGGCACGGCGCACGGCGACGACGCTGCGCTCCTATCATTCTTCGTAACAGGCCCACCGCAGGCACGACGAGGCGACCGCACTTTCACCACTGGAACCGCGCCGACCCAAGCCTAGCCACGACGGCAGACCTCGCGGCCGCGGGCCCTCCGCAGACTTTCGCTCCGCCTGGGTCCGACCTCGCCAGCGCGA